GTGCTTTATAAGAAAAGATAGAGTGTCAAGAGCATCAAATACAGAAGGTCTGGAGCTGAGGTCAGTGTCAGGAGCACTGAATACAATGAAAATGATCAAATACAATAACATATACCGGACCAATCGGCATTTTCCACTGTTTATCTTTGTTGTTTCATTCACATTGACCAACCCAGCACTTACGTTGTCTCAGTTATACACACACACACACACACACAATTCCCAGTCCATTCCACACAAAAAATTATGTCTTTTCTTTTCTTACTTATGGAGACACTAGACATCACAACACTGTGAAAACACACTAAACATTCGCCTGCACACTTCAAAGACTAGTTCTTTGGGGGAAATAAGAGAAATCAGGCCCGCTTTCTTGGCTAGACAAGTTTCTCACACACTCACATCAAGCCTCTCAGTTAATGTTCTCTGTCAGCTGTCAACAGTTGGCATCCTGCTGCTGCTGCTGGTTAAAACCGTTCTGCTCGTTGGGAAGTTCTCTCATCTAAAACCATGTTTGGTAATGTTTGTTGTAAAAAATACTACCCTGCATCTGAAATGTGTTAATGGCAATCTTTCAACAGTGCAGTGTTGCCCTTCAGTAGCAGTATTGGATATGTTTTTTTTTTAAAACACTGTCAACTGGCAGAGACTTGAGTGAAGCAAACCAGTAAATGCTTCCGAAATTAACAGAGTACCACATAGTCCAGAACACATTTTGAGGGCAAAGTGTTCACAATATCAAACAAAATCACGGCTGAAAATGTACAGGCTTTATGACAGACTAAACAAAAAAGGGGGTGGGGGTGTGTGCGTGTGCGTGTGCGTGTGCATGCGCGCGCGTCTCACATGCCTATATGCAGACTAAGGTAAATGGGGAGCCTGGGGGGGGTACTACAGTGCCTTCCCACTGTTCACTGTGTAGAAATGAACCCTCCCCCATCCACCAACCAAACACTCTTATGTGCACGCACTCTCACACACACTCAGAGAGTCGTACCCTGCCCCCTAATGAGAGCATAATAAAAGCCACATGGCCAAAGACTTTCAGCTGGGAGCCGCAGAGACTCAGAGCCAGACTCCAGCGCTGCTCTGTCTGACTGACTGATGATCCCACATCCAGAGGGTAAAGGGCAAAGGAAACCCTGAGGAATTTAGTCGAATGATTTCTGCCCGAGCTGCCCTCTACTCTTGTCTGCGTTGAATTCACTTTAGTATTCACTTAATATTCCCTTCAGACGTGGGTGAGGCTGTGGTAGATCTTCAGAAATCTACTGCTGTGAAATACTAACGGTAGACAATATATAGCGAGTTCACGACCTGGCATCACAATGACTACACTGGATAATATAGTAGGAAGCAGCATTGTGAGGAATGAATACAATGCCAAAAGAATGCTGTTTGAGAGTTAGGAAGAATGCTGCCGATGATCGTTATCACCAGTAGTTTTTGCTTAGAATGACGTTTCAAAAATACTTGAGAAAAATGTTTTACCTCTAAGGTAAATTAACAACAAAGTTGAAAAGCATGAAAAAGAAACACAGCCTGTGTGTAGCCTGTTTTTCATATACTTACCCTTCATGCCTGTTGAAGTGTATCAAAATGAATACCAACAAATAAAAGTAATGGCTGTGGTGAAAGTGTGAGAAAGGCAGCTGAGGGAGGACAGGGATTTAGAAACCATTGAATGCGTTTAAAAGCGTTCAGATATTCGTAAACAAGCTCTGCCAGCTAAGCCTGGAAACAGTTTACCTTGAAAAGCTGATGATTGCATTTGCAGAGATAAACAAAGGCTTTGAATATTCGTGAGGACACGCTTTCCCAAAAAGTAAAAAGAGCTAATCCAATGACGTTGCCATAGTTTTAGCCAAAGTTTTGCACTTGGGGCTATTGCGCTAATAATTGATCTAAGCATGCTGGGTGGCAGGAAGCTTTGACGCATCAAATGTTTTATTTATTCGATACAATCCTCTTATAATAATAATACATTTATTTTCTATAGGCGCCTTTCAAGGCTCTCAATATCGCCATACAAACACATAAAAAACAAGATACACAATACATAAAACCAGCATAAGAGACATAAACAAGACAATGCAGTATATAAATCAATCAAATAACCAAATAAATAAAAAACAGCCACAGCCGCCACGCCATGATCTCATAGGATGGCATGAAACTAATTATCTCATCCCTTTAGTGGCTACATTAAAGTCATTATGGAAAATCAGGTAGCACTTGGGGCTGCAGAACTCAAGGTGCTCCAAAATGTAAAAAATGGACACTGCATTTCTGTTGCTTTAAGGCTGCTTGGACTTATCAAATAGCACATCCAGGCTCAGTGGATCAAAGCTTTGCTGCAGAACGGTTACATTTATTAACAGATCTTTCTCCGTGGGTCCTTTTTAAGCCATTGCAGGTCAATTTAACATTCTGGTTTACTTTTTGACTTTATTGTTAAGGGCATAGTGGCACTGGAAAACGATGTCAACAGTGTTTTATAGTCAGGCTCAACATTGTTACTGGGTCGAAACTTCAGCCAATCAATTGGACAAAAGGCAATAGTGTAATTATGCTGCTCACTCTTAGGAATGACTTTAAAACTGTTGAGCTGAGCGATGATTACATTAAATTACATTGTACAGTAAATATGTCCTTGTGTCTTAGAGAAGTTAGTTTAATTGCTCCCTAAATTACCTGACTCAGATTAAAGTAGACTAATGCTTTTCATTGAATGTTCTGCTCCTGTAGTTTATGTTAAAAGTCACCAAGATAATTAGTTCCCTATAATTGCATTCCTTGAGAATGGTATGAAATAAAAAATCCTGTCAGAAGATGAAGTATGGGGCATTTATAATTAGGGCTTATCAGTGTAAGGAGCTTCGTTCAACATCATAAACTGTAAACGTGCCGTTGCCACTGTCTGATCTTACACTTAAAAGAACATCTGCCATCTCAAACNAGTGGCTACATTAAAGTCATTATGGAAAATCAGGTAGCACTTGGGGCTGCAGAACTCAAGGTGCTCCAAAATGTAAAAAATGGACACTGCATTTCTGTTGCTTTAAGGCTGCTTGGACTTATCAAATAGCACATCCAGGCTCAGTGGATCGAAGCTTTATTAGTGTAAGGAGCTTCGTTCAACCTCATAAACTGTAAACGTGCCGTTGCCACTGTCTGATCTTACACTTAAAAGAACATCTGCCATCTCAAACATGCCTCAGAGGAACACATGGAGCCATCTTTAGAATCAAACGTGTGCCTTCCTAGAAACATTACTTTGAGTGACCACATGAAGTCATTTTCCTTTATTGTTTTTTTAAGCCTCTGAAAATCCACACAAGTGTTTTAAGTTATTTTGGCTGATTAGTAGGTCAGAGCTTTGATGGAAATTTACGAGGTAACAAATCTCCATCCAGCAATATTAATGATAAAGTGTAATTTGTCCCAACCTAACAGGTGCAATAAAGCTAACAGGAAACTCGGGAAGGTGTCAATAAATTACAGTCCACACACTTCCTGTCAAGGAACTAATCAGCCAGATTAACTGAAAACGCCTGTGTGGGTGTTCAGAGGTTTTACAGACTAGTGTTAATGGGGGCAAAATGTAGGTTTTGTCCTTGAAGACATGCTGTTAATCACCTTAATCAAAACAGCATTATTCAATTCCTCTGTAAAGTCCCTTCCAACTCTGCCATTAAGTCTAAGTCGCAGGAAATATCACACTAAACTCTTAATTAAAAGATTTCTAAAGATGCATTGATGCTAATTAAATGATAAAAACAAAAATGTGGGTTTCCTCCTTGTGAACTGTACACATGGTGATTTTAATGTTCTTCAGTTTAGAGGCCAAATACATTCAAATCAGAACCTGCACAGCATTGGTGAAAGCATCAGTGTGTGTATAACGTTGTGGTTGTTTTGTTTGGTACATTGACACTTACCAGACAGAGGGTTTTTGCCCAGAATCAGCACGTTTGGTAAAGGCATCATCACCAGCTGCTGGAGAGTCTCCTGTAACACAAAGAAATGGAAAAGAAAGTCAGGCAGAGGAATCACTATTTAGCATTTTGTTAAGTATTGCAGAGCTAGAAGAGCTGGGGTTTTCAGTGCACATCCCCATCTGAGACAGCTTTCTGCCCTACTGTAAATTATAAACACTTTAACAATTACAACAACGACCACTTCGCCTTTGACAGCGTAATGCCATCTCATAAAAGACAGTCTTGAGTGTACAATCTTTCTTGTACACTCAAGAAAGGTTATCAAGAGAGCCAAGGTGACTTCAAATAAGCGGTATCAATCTACTTTAGTTGAGAATGTGGTGGTTTCATGGGTATTCCTGTGTCTCTCTGTGTGTGTGTGTGTGTGTGTGTGTGTGTGTGTGTGTGTGTGTGTGTGTGTGTGTGTGTGTGTGTGTGTGTGTGTGTATACGAAAGTGACGGTGGTATTTATGCGAGGTAAATTGATGGTGTGGGTTTTGCCGCAGGGCCCCCTCCATTTACGTGTCAATCATTAAAACAAAAATGAAAGCATGAGCTGCAGCACTCATGCAGACATGCAGCAGTATGCACACACACATATACAGATACTCAGTGGGTAAGGGTGGGCAGGGCTCAATTATGGTGATGTTTTGGTTCGAGTCAGATCTTCAAATGATGGGCACTGCAATAGTGCACGACACGCTACAAGCAGTAAAAAACATTGTTACATTCATGTCTTGTCTACATAATTATATATAAATCTTACTTGGAGGTTATGAGACATCAGCAGCCTGCCAAAATATCTTTGCAGTCATAACCTTTTGAGCAGTATGAACAAAGTAGTGATGAAAAGAAAGCCTGGTTTCTTCAAGCAGAAAGGACATGGAGGTCAGCCAACTTCAATATTTGATGTCTACCTGATGGCAGAGAACGGTTCGAACTCATGTGACCCGGCAGATTGACTATTCTATTCAGGTTAATGCTGATGTTCTGCTAAATAGGCTTATATAAGGAAGTGGCTATGCAGAAGCCCCACCCCACCCTCCCTTCTTAACCATCTGTTCTATACATATTGCATTACCTCAACATGTACAGTAGGTAAAAGGGGGGGGGGTAGGAAATCTGACATAATTTGCTGGTTTTGATTTGTTCGAAATGAAGCCACATCTGTGAATATTTTAAGAATACTTGAAAGCAGCAACCAGCTAAATTAACCAGGAGTTGATTTCCAAACTGCATCCCTAAAATACATTCTGTACATTTAGAATTTTCCAGAAAGTCCCATTGTAAAAGCAGAAGGGCTTCAGGGCTAGAAATAAGGTAAGTATAACAGAAGTCAGAAAGAGGAAACCGTACTTAAAATAGTATGTGGAAAGCAATATATAATCTGTCCTATCTGTAGAAAGATGCTCACATTCAATGAATTAGCCCCTAACAGGTTAATTACAACCATATGGTCAAGATAACCATAATGATGCATGTGCAGTTTACATAAATGCAAACAATTGATGTATTTTAATCATACAGTAGGTTAAATACATTTATTACTTTAGGTCATTACTCACAAAGCCCTCAACAATCAGGCCCCGCCCCTACCTCACAGACCTGCTGCACCACCACACCCCTTCCCGCTGCCTCCGCTCATCAGAAGCCAACCTCCTATCCATCCCCACCCACACCAATCACCGGACCTGGGGGGACAGAGCCTTCTCCGTCGCTGCCCCCTCCCTCTGGAACTCACTCCCACAACCCATCAGAGACTGCACCGACCTCACCACCTTCAAAAAACTCACAAAAACTCACCTCTTCAATCTGGCTTTTAATGTGTGATTGTTTTTGTATTATTTGACTTTAACTTTAACTATATATTTATTTGTTGTTCCTTTCTTCTCTTTTCTTTTCTCTTCACTATTATCTGTAAAGCGTCTTTGAGCACCTGTAAAAACGCTAACAAATTAAATCTATTATTATTATTATTAAATGCCTCTAAACTCCCAAGCGGTTGTTTTTCTAAAAAGTCAAATTTGCATTCTTCCTTCCAAGGTTTTTCTCACAACAACATGATTCAGTTCCTCTTTTATCCCTTCTGTGTGTGTACACAATATGCTTTGTNAAAAAACTCACAAAAACTCACCTCTTCAATCTGGCTTTTAATGTGTGTTTGTTTTTGTATTATTTGACTTTAACTTTAACTATATATTTATTTGTTGTTCCTTTCTTCTCTTTTCTTTTCTCTTCACTATTATCTGTAAAGCGTCTTTGAGCACCTGTAAAAACGCTAACAAATTAAATCTATTATTATTATTATTATTATTATTAAATGCCTCTAAACTCCCAAGCGGTTGTTTTTCTAAAAAGTCAAATTTGCATTCTTCCTTCAAAGGTTTTTCTCACAACAACATGATTCAGTTCCTCTTTTATCCCTTCTGTGTGTGTACACAATATGCTTTGTATTTAAAGAACCAACATGTGTCATTGTTTCTCTGTGTCAAGGGAAATGTATCTAGTATAGTTGCAAACACAACTTCACCTATATCCTCCTTATCAACATCTGTCGTCGTCTCAACCTTTGTTGGCCGTTTTATTTGATGCAGAGGCAGGATAGATTAATCACAGGAGATAGTAGTATAGAGTAGGGCTGAAGGATATATCTTGTCATGGCGATAACCGCGATATGCGCATGCGCGATATTCACATCGCAGGGAGATGCGAAATTATTATTATTATATTATTATTTTATTTAGGACGTGCAATATTAAGCAGGTACATTAACTCAAACACATCATGTTACAATTATGTTGCTGCTTACTACAAAAGGAAAACTTGCGCGGCTCTCATGTCAGGGGTACTTGAGTGAGTGACATGCAGGCTCTGCATGCACAGCAAACCACCAATCACAATCATTCTTGATCAGATCACAGCAGGTCCCGCCCCACTAGTTTGTAGACCATGTACAGGAGGACAATACCGGCAAGAATGAAGATTTACTTCCAAAAAGAAAAGCAACATCTGCCATCTGGAACCATTTTGGATACAAAAAGGTTCTTCTCTTCTTCATTCACAGATGAACCCCCTTATTTGAGGGTAAGCAACATGCCATGTTAGATCATGACTTAAGGTATGATGAGTCAACCAGTTAAGATCCAGACGTCCGTGACTAAAATCCTTCATCCGGTTAAATATAGTTAAAAAAAACGCAATATATATCGCAGGGGAAGAAAATATCGCAATGTCAGTTTTTTTCAATATCGTGCAGCCCTAGTATAGAGTCGGACATATAGACGATAAGATGTTGTGCATCATACTGCATTGTAAACATGTATGGTTGGGTCAGGTTTTGCAGTTAACTTAAAGTACCTGAGCTTCAAACACTTGCAGGTTTTCTCTTTAGCAAACCTATGATGGATTAAAAATCATTGAGGAGTAGACAAATGCTTTAATACACACAGAGAAGCATCTACGATCTGAGGTGAAGGTCGAAGTTGAGGTCACACTGAAGGTCAGTCACAGATAATAGGGTAAAGGCTTGGTTGCCATGGTTTCTCTGTCATGGTGATAAGAGCACTGACCCCATTTTGCCCTTCTGTCTATCTCTCTGTTTACCCTTGGGTTTGGGGCATGAGGGAGTGAGGTTATGGTGTGTTACGACAGTGTGCCATTTCCAAAGCTTTCAATAGATAATTAATGGGAGTATTAACTCTGGGATATTATATTCAGAGTGGATGACAGCAGCCTTAATTTCCCATCATCTGTTCTACCAGTAAAGTGATATGTATGCATGGTGATGGCAAAAGCAAAAAATAGAACAATATTATATGGTGACCCTGATACTGATGATGACTAACGCTGTAATCAGGCAGTTCCAGCCATAATGTCTGAGACAGATTGACTCAACAAGCGTCAGACCCAATATTGAGTGAAGACAGACAGCCACAGTTGGTGCCTCACAGAGAGGCATTTGGTGCGCCGATGCAGCATGTTGAACTTGTGACAGGCACTATGAGCAGAATGAGCTAAATCTACATTAAAGAAAACCATTGAGCCAAAAAACCGCCCTAATATCTATTGTTTAATACATCTTAGTTGTGTCTTGAATCAGTTGCCGAGAGAAACTTATTAAACGATGACAGTAAGCAGAAGAGGGTTGGTTGCATACATCTCGAAGGCTTCTACAAACTGCTTTTAGATTTGTAGAAAGTCATGAGTCATCACAGAGAAGAGCCCCCAACTGGATCTTAACTTTAGAAACAGCAAATGCCTTCTCTCCTTCCACAACCACCTGTCCCACTTCTGAACACTTCTGCCCGTCAACACATGCTCACACCTGTCAATGGCAGCATGTGTTTGCTGTTTAAGCACAACATTTTAGAGACTGTAAATCTTTTCCTCTTTTCCTACAACCCAATCATTGACACCAAGTTCATTACACCATGTTAACAAGTTCATTACACCATGTTAACAAGTTCATTACACCATGTTAACATTTATGCAGGTCTCCCTTGTAAATGAGATCGACGATCTCAAGGGACCAATCTGTCTAAATAAAGGTTTGAAATGAAATGAAATTGCTAGGAATTCCAAATAGCTTAACTTCAGGTATCAGTTGAAGAGATTTCAAAGCAATGATCTGTATTGTGCAGAGTCATGAGCTTAGCGCAACACTATGCCCATTCAGTAACACATCCCTTTCCTTCACAAGGGTCCATTGAACTGATCGTTAGTCATTGCATTCCTCTGATCTGCCCTGGTGTTAGGTTGGAGCTTTCTGAAAAAAAAAGCCCAGAGCATCACTGGCTTTTGATGTTTTATCTCTCATTTTGTATCTGTATCTGATTGTATAATATACACAAACCAGATTGTAGCACTACAGTACTAATGCAGACTAGAGTTAGAGTTAATAGAGCTAATATCATTGTGTCTTTCCTGCAGGGCACCATCACCGCCTTATCTCTGAATAAAGCCGTTTGCAGCGCATCGTCTGTATTTGATACCATATGGAGAGGGAAATTAAACTACAAACTGTAATAATAA